CATAATCTCAATATGGTTTTAAATACAATTAATTAATTCTTAATTCTTTAATTCTTAAATGATTCTTTCTAAGTTTGGTTAATCATTTGCAGCATTTACTAAAACAATACAGAATAAGAATGTGAAAGCAGAATCTATACCCAGCCAAAAACGTTAAATAGACAAAGTGATTATCTCTTGGTAAACAATATTTTTATAAGTAAAAAATGTTTCCTCAAAGTTGAAATATATAGATTATATTATACGTATCATTTGATGTCTTTGAGATTCTTTCTAATAGCTCAGAATAATAAGTTTTTGATACTTTTAAAACTAAGACAGCTGTTGCAACACATAAGAAAAAATATAGATACTACATTTGTACCCAAGATACAATGTATCAAAATTATTCATTAAAAGTAAAGTATTCATTAAAAGCAGCAAAAAGGTATTCTAGTGCATTACAATTTATATTGTAGATTGTTTTATTTTAATATAAGCAGATCATTGTAGGGAAGGTATTCTCTTATTATCAGCAATGCGGACGACATTCTGATGTTTGATAGTCGGATAATCGGAGAAACCTGATTTATGTTACTATACTATACAATGGCAACATTGAATGAGCTATATACCGTGAGCTTAGAAAACCAAAGATATTTGGAGACATGCGCGGGTTGATTATCGTACTCGTAATATTATCAGGTATTAGAATACCAACTATTACCCTTAAAAAATTATTAACACAATTCAACTATCGGATAGTTCAATTTTAAAATTTCATTAAGTTAATAGTTAAACTATCTAAAATTTATTTAAAGTATTGATTATAGTTTCCCATTCACTTATTATAACATATTAATATAACAAATTTTTTGAAATGTGTTCAAACTGTTCATTTTGGGTTTATTATAATAATTATAATATTAAATAAAATATATGCTTATAAATTAGTTTTTCTTTTTATATTATATTATTTTAATTATCATTTCGGCCTTTTTTATAATTATAAAGAATTAAAAAAAGTGACCTAACAACTACTTCAAAATAAATGTATAATTTTTTTAAACGATTTTGTACATTTTTATTTTAAATTTAAGATCTATAATTTTTATATATACTTATTTGATAAATGTGAAAAAAAAATTTGAATATTTTTTTTGTATTTTGTTTATTAACATAAAATGATTTTAAATAAATAAATTTAAATATTTTCCACATTCTGTTTATATCCTCAGTACTTAATCCTTTAAACCTCGAATTTTAAAACCTTGCATGTGGATTAAATGGTGGTGTTGTTGGAATTGGAAAACGAGGCTGCTGTGGGCGTTGAATACGTCCACGGTCCACCCAAGGATCTGCATGTGCCACTTGTGATATCAAAGCTATAACAGCCAACACAACAATTAATACCAAATTTTTCACGAACATTTTTTAAAATTGATAATTTTTAAATTAATCGCTTGCTTGTTAAAATGAAACTGACTTCTTGTATAAATTTTGAACGTATTTAAACAATCTCATTTCTGCGAAAATACCTCCACAATTAAAGATTATCTGTCAATAAATAAAAGCAAAAATTCACCGTAACTGATAAGGACCGTTTCTAGGGTAATTCATTAATATCTGCGGTACATCACCAAATGACATATACATAAAATGAAATAAAAACAGACATATATATAACGTATATATAGGTATATATATAAAAATATATTTATAATAAATATATATAATATATATAAACTAATATATAACTATAATATATATATATATAAACGTATATATATATTATACGTCTGTTTTTGTTTTATTTTATGTATATGTCATTTGGGATGTACCGCAGATATTAGTGAATTACCTTAGAAACGGTCCTTATCAGTTACGGTGAATTTTTGTGTATATATAAATATATATTTTTATAATTAAAATATATTTTTATTAATTACTCTTATTCTGAACTAAATCTTTTATATTGTTTTTTTTTCGTTTATTTATTAAAATACTTTGAGTAATAATAATAAAATTATATTAAAACTATCAAAATATTTTTAATAATAATAGTTTAATAACAACTGGGATAAAATAATGATCAAAACTTCGGAAAGTGGATTCGACATAGGTGAAATTTCAGATTAAGAAATTCCAAAACACTAAAAAAATACTCTGACACACGTCCCTCACAAGCAAAAGTTGCTAATCCTGGAGAATCAAGGCAATAAATGTAGTAGTCATCTACTCGGGCGTGATTTTCAATTTCGAATTAATATGTTTTGAGTTCTTGATATTGTTGTTCTTGAATTTTCAGTAACTAATTCATTAGTAACAAAATTATTATATTCTACTAAATTTAGGAAAGAAAACATTAATATTTTTTCAGAACCAAAGTTGCAAGTACATATAAAATATATGACTTTTGCTAGGTATGTTTTTTCTACGTATTTTGTGCGTTCTTTAGGGCAATAACTAACTATAGGTTCTAGTTAACTGATTATTAAAACATTTCATTCAATAGTAAGGATCCAATATTCAATATTCATACAATACTAAAATAATAATACTAAATACTAATAATACTAAAAGTGATCATGTCAGAAAAATCCCCCGCTTCTAAAAAATGCAAGATAAACTTTTCAAAAAGGTCAAATAAAATTAAATTACTAAATGAAATGTAAATAAAGTCCCATTATTGAAAAAAGACAAATTTAAGCTTTTCTTATAAATATAAAAGGCTGCATTTTATACAGTTATTACAGTTTAGATTTTCAAGCTACTGAATATGTTCTTCAAGGGGCTTTTAATTTTTTTCTTTGGGTTATTGGCGTTCGCTGCACCAATGGTAAAGGCTACTCTTAGTCATCAGAGTCGCGGTGGAATTGGAGGTCGAGGAACTATCATCCCACCACCGTCACCATATAATCCAAATCCTCGAGCTCGACCATATTAAAACGATATATTAATATTTGCTGAAAAATAAAATTTAATAAAGAACATAAAGAAAATAAAAAAAAATATGACTTAATAATGTATTTAATTTAATCATGAAAGATTTAGAACTATTTATATTTGTTTGTAATTTCTTTTAATTTGTTAAAATGATGTTATTTGTTTTTTTGTTTTTACCAATGTAGTTGTTGTAATCCGCGGAGATTTGCTGGTATAGTTCATATTGGAAGTGATGACTGTGGTCATTATGAAGTGTGAAGTGGTTGCGATAGATAAGTGGTTCCGGGATGTGTACTCGGCCGCTCCTGAAATCTTTCTTAATAATTTGTTATTATTATTATTATTGTTATTATAGTCCAATGTAGTTCCCACGGTCTTATCAGGCAGAAGTTTATCCTAGTCCTTTATTTAGGAAAAATGCCAACGAAAACTGTGGTTTGAAATTAAATTTTATAAGAATAAAAGATTGTAGAATGGATGGGAGAAGCTGGTTATAGAGAGTCTGAGTCTAATCATTGTCAATGTTGTAGAAATTTGTCACTTCGTTGGTATGGAGCTATAGAGTGAATAAGCTCAGAATTGTATGTACTATGGGATACATAATTAAACTTAAACAGTTTTACTCTGTTATGGTTTAAGGTCTTCTGTTTTGTTTTTTTTTATCTAGAAGATGCTGTTTAAAATCAGTTTGCTAACTATATCAATTGATTTGGATAGATTGCGTTTCAATTGGTACAATTTTTATTCGGTTCTAAAATTTTTGTTATGATATCCACATCACAACTTGATTTAAGCTAACAATTTATATAACCAGAATAAACGAATTGATTATCTTAACATTTGTTTAAAATCAAGTTTAAATCAGATTTAAATGAACGCCTAGTATTTCTATGACGATTATCCTCATCGATCGTGATGTTATCATTTGTTATCATTGTACTACTCAAGTTTTCAAACTGCTTTTCTTACTTTATTTTTCTATGACTAAGAAATCGTTTTTTTAGTATATAAAAGGCTATATATATATATAGCCTTAGCGTATAAATCAGTTTCCTTGAATATTCTGTTTGGAGCGCGTAAGAGTAAAGAACAGATTTTATTAAGGGATTTCTACTTTAAAAATCATATAAATTGTGAAGTTTTGTGTTCAGATTAATGTGTATAATTATATTTAATACGATGTGAACATCTATAAAATTTGAATAAAACTAAAAATAGCTATAGTTTATTCACTCAACTAAAATTGTGTTATATAGCTTGAATTGAAGATAATAGATCTACTTCTATTCTAAAATAACATCTAAATAAGTTTAAACCTAAACACATTTTCAGTTCTATTTATTATTTTTTTTTTTTTTTTTTTTATATATTAAATTTAGATTTTATAAATTATTTCCTTTAAACGGGACATCACTCACGTGTCAATGACTTTCTGAAAAATATTCACAGTTCTATCATATTCTGTATAACCTCAAACGCAAAAAACAGTCTGTGTTTTACATTCCATTATAATTTTTCATGTTGTATAAATAAAATAAAAAATGAAATTTTACTTTTAAATATATTATTCATTTATTGCATTTTAATTTAAATAAATTTAAAAACGAAATGGTGTTGGCCTCGGAAAGGATGGCGGGAATGGTGAAAACGGATCCTGTGGTCTCGGATACGATGGCGGAAATGGATCTTGTGGTATCGGAAATGTTGGAGTTGGTCGATATGGTCCAATGTCAGGAAACCTTTGCCCGTATGTTGGTTTTGATAAAACTGCAATAATTGCAAAAAACGCCAACAAAAATAATTTGATTTGCATTTTAAAGCTGATTCAATAAGTAATAAATGAAGACTGACAGTAAAAGATTTCCAGTTGTGTTTTTATAGCAGATTATTACTTAATAACAGTTAGGGACTTTTTTCTTCTTATCAATTAATTTTTTTGTTCTCATTGAGTTCATCATGTAAATTTTTATTCTGGGGAAATAATTTCCCCTATACAAAAATTAATTTTATATTATAAAATATTTTATTTAAAAAATATATTTATATACATTTTTTTTGTTTATATTATTTTTTAGGCCTTCCTGATCCGTTTGCTAAAGTGCAAGTTGATGGTACAGCCCAAGTTTACTCTACGGACATAAGTAAATCTTCACTAGATCCAAAATGGAACGCACACTACGACCTTTTTTTAAGTCGTGGAGATGCAATAACGATAACTGTTTGGAATCAAAGAAAAATACACAAAGGTAGTGGATTTCTAGGCTGTGTGAGAATTCCAGCACCAACTATACAAAGTTTAAAAGGAGCAGGCTGTAAGTATAATATTATTTCCTTAAAAAAATATTTATACTGCATATAGTATTAATTAAAGTAATAAATATAATTTAAATAAAAAATTTTTTTTTAGATCAACGTTTGGATTTAAGTAAATTATCACCAGATGACGATGAAATCGTACGTGGTCAAATAATAATTGCGTTGTTATCCAAAGATGGTCCTTGTGGTGGTAATCCGCTAGCAATTGTCGGTCCAAGCGGCGATGTGCGTGGACCATCAGAAGATGATTCATCTGAAGATAGCTTACCAGAGGGCTGGGAAGAGCGACGAACTAGTAATGGTCGTGTATACTACGTTAATCATGCAACTAAATCAACGCAATGGGATAGACCAAGTACGCATCAACATTATCCACGTGCCGCTACGAATGGTAGTAATCTACAGCCAGCAGGACCAACACGTTCAACAACTTGCACAAATTTGTTAAACGGTCATAGTAATAGAAGTACGCGAGATTCCGATGAACGAAGACACTCAACGGAAATATTGTCAAGTACAACGACACCCACAAATGGGACCAATATTAGTAACAGTAATGCATCCAATTTAGGTAAAGAAAATTGTAGTCCAACAAGAACTGAAAAAGAATCTACGACAACGACACCCAGCACAAAAAAGACAAATAGCCGAATTCACCAGACGTCGCCGCCATCAACAACGAATGTTACAAGTCCAAGTGCTAATAACGTAGAAAATTCTCTTACACCGCGCACAAATAATGACATTACAACTCCACAGAATACACGTTGTTTACAAATTAACGAAAATCATACAAAAACTCCGAAACACAATACACATCTACATCATTCACATGGACCAATATCACCAGTTACTAACGGACATCATATTGATGTAAATACCTCTACAACGACTACATCATCCACTTCAAGTGCTACAGCTACACCACAACGTTTACCAAATCATTTACAAAACGCTCAAAATTTGGTAAGTCTAAATAAAGATAGCTATTAAAGTTTATCAATGAAAGTGATTAAATATTTCTATAGGTTAACGGTAATCCAGGTAGTGCAAATAATCAGACTGCTCAACCGCAATCTGCTCATACGAACGGTTGGACTAACGAAAATGAACAATTATCTTTACGACATAGTCCAACTTCGGGAAATGGCAATTCTGTTAGTAGTAATAATGGTGTACAAAGTCCAAATGCGAATTCGAGCCAACATCAAACACAGACATCAGGAACACCCAGTAATAGTAATGGGCGAGAAAGAGAACGGGAAACTCGTGATAATCGTGGCCATTCAACGTCAACTTCAAATTCGTCTAATGCAGCTGGAAATCCACAACGTTCACAAAGACGTAGTTCTCGCAGCACTGATGAATCTTCGCGAAGGCGATCATCACGTGGTTCTCGTGGTGGAAACGGTTCGCATCGCTATGCTGCAATAAATGGTTCTAATCAGGGCACACGTCCGTTTATGGACTTACCACCGGGTTATGAAATGCGTACAACTCAACAAGGTCAGGTCTATTTCTATCATATACCTTCTGGTGTCTCTACATGGCATGATCCACGCATACCACGTGACTTTGATACACAAAATTTAACACTAGATGCGATTGGACCACTACCGAGTGGTTGGGAACAACGTAAAACACAATCAGGTCGTGTATATTTTGTTGACCATAACAATCGCACAACACAATTTACAGATCCGCGTCTAAATGGTAATATTTTACAAATGATACGTCGTGGTGCTATACCTGCAGGTGTTGCGCCGCCTGGAAATTCTACTGGTGGTTCAGTTACAACAGGTAATGGTACAATTATACAACATTTATCACCAGCACAATCACATCCCTTATCTGGTACAGCTGCAAGTAATAGTCTTGGAAATGCAAATACGCCAAGTCATACACATCAACCAGTACCGCATGTACACCAACATACACCAATTGCTAGCCAACATAGTGCGGTGCCTGATTTACCACAAGGTTTGCTTGAAGGCGCCGATCTACTACCTAAATATAGGCGTGATCTAGTGGGCAAATTGCGCGCACTACGTACCGAACTGCAGGCAATGCAACCACAGTCGGGTCATTGTCGTTTAGAAGTGTCGCGTAGCGAAATCTTTGAGGAGAGCTACAGACTGATTATGAAAATGCGTGCAAAAGATATGCGTAAACGTCTTATGGTTAAGTTTAAGGGGGAGGAGGGACTTGATTATGGCGGTGTTGCACGTGAATGGTTGCACTTATTGTCACGTGAAATGCTTAATCCTCAGTATGGATTATTTCAATATAGTCGTGATGATCATTATACTTTGCAAATTAATCCAGATTCTGGTGAGTATTTTTATTATTGATTATTAAGATTAAAATTTTTACAAGTTTGAAATAAATTGTTGTCAATTTGTTTAGGTGTTAATCCTGAGCATCTGTCGTATTTTCATTTTGTTGGGCGTATATTGGGTATAGCAGTTTTTCATGGTCATTGCTTAGATGGTGGATTCACTACGCCATTTTACAAGCAATTACTTAATAAACCTATAACCTTGGGTGATATTGAAGGTGTAGATCCAGAATTACATCGCAGCTTGACTTGGATGCTGTTAGTATATAGATGTAATTATTTTTTAAATAAAATAAATAATCATATATTTTTTAGTGAAAATAACATAAACGGCATTATTGATTCCACGTTTAGTGTAGAAAATAATAGCTTTGGTGCTCTTGTAGTACACGAACTGAAACCTTCAGGTGCCTCTATACCGGTGACCGAAGAGAACAAAAGAGAATATGTAAAACTATACGTAAACTACAGATTTATGCGTGGTATTGAGCAACAATTTTTAGCGTTACAGAAAGGTTAGTATTACATTAAATTAATAATTAAAAAAATTTTTTATATTAAAATAATTATATCTTTAAATAATATCATTTTTATAGGATTTTGTGAATTGATACCAAATTATTTATTGCGGCCATTTGACGAACGCGAATTGGAATTGGTTATTGGTGGTATATCAAGTATTGATGTAAATGATTGGCGTAATAATACGAGACTAAAACATTGTACACCTGACACACTGCAAGTGATATGGTTCTGGCAGGTAAAATATTTAAATAAATATATGTTTGTATGTTTGTATGAAATAATTTTAATTGTTATTCCTCTAAAAAGGTTGTCGAATCGTATTCATCCGAAATGCGTGCACGCTTGCTGCAATTTGTAACTGGCTCATCACGTGTACCATTACAAGGGTTCCGTGCTCTGCAAGGATCCACAGGTGCACTTGGCCCAAGACTGTTTACTATACATTTGACAGCAGACGTGCCCACACAAAATTTACCGAAAGCGCATACTTGCTTTAATCGTATTGATTTGCCACCTTACGAAAATTATCAACTGCTCTGTGATAAGCTGACGCAGGCGGTAGAAGAAACTTGTGGATTTGCTGTAGAATAAATAATAAAAGACAGTGTTTGTTATTATTGTAAAAAGCAATCAAACAAAATTTGTTAAAAGAAATAGATTTCTTTATTAATTAATTAGGAAAAAAATGTCGTCAGCAGATTTTAAATCAAATTTTTTTATTTTTTTTATTGCATTTGATATAAAATGCAATAGGCTGCCGATAAAGGTATATATATATATAAATATATATATGTAGATATATATATATACAATAAAGATATTTACAAAAAAATCAAATAGTTTATATAAATAAATTGAAATTATACATATTAATCAATTATTCTTTTTTAATTATTATAAAATTTAACCACATATAGTTTATATTAGAATTATTGAAATTTATGTAAAATTTTTTTCGTATTGTTTTGCAATGTTTGCAATTAATTTTTGTTTTATGTAATCATATATATATTTATTTATGTATATGTTTATATGTATATAACTAAGTTTTTATATTATTTTATAAATGTATTTATAACTACCAAGTAAATATTGTTTCATTTATTTAGAACTTTATATATTTTATAAATTCTTGATTTATGTTATTAATTTTTGAAAGTAAGCCACTTATCATAACCTTAAGCAATTACAAATAAAATTTTTCTATTTATAAAAAAATCACATATGCATATACATATTTACATATACCAAACTCAGTTTAACAGACGCATAAATGCATTATTGGTCTAAATATTAAAAAAAAAGGAAATAAAATACATATGAAATTAAAATAATACACACACAATTTTATTTATTGTCTATTTATTGTAAAAGGTTTAGTTTTTTTGTTGTTGTTTTTGTTTTTATTTCATTATATTTTTCAGTTATATCATTTAAAAATTCTGTTATACTTTTCTTTTTCTTACAATTCTACAAATATATTTTTTGTATATTTATTTACATATTAATAATGAGTGTATTTAATAAATATATATGAAATACAGATTTACAATAACATTAATTTCTTTTTTTACTTGTTAGTTGTTTTTTTTATTTGCTTAGTCAATCTTCTATTCATTTTTAATTTGAAATACCAATTAACAATACGCGAATAGTTACGTAAAATATTTTAAAATATTAATTAAAATTAATAATAAATAATTTGATAGTGTACAAATTCAAACTTTTTTTAGGTTCTAATGAAGCGCATATATAAGTGGCTAAGTGAATATATTTTTATATGTATTTTTTAGTTTTATTTTTTTAATTTTTTTTAATTTAATTTTTCTAGTTCATTTATTTATGCATATTTTTGTTACTTTGTTGCTTCGTTTTGATTTACTACTGGGATGTATTAAGTCTACAATTATTCTAACATAAATTATAAATTCTTAATAATTAATAATTCTAAAGTGGAAGAAAGTAAGTTCATATTTATGTTAAAAATTGCCTTAAGCAAAAGTACCATTATCGATTTATAATAAATATATTTTTTGAAATTTAATTCTAACTTTTCATTCTAAACGTATTTAAATTATTATGTTAAAGTCATTATTTTTTAAATTAATTAAAAATATGTGTTTTTATCAAAATTAAAAAAAAACCAAGATCATGTTAACGTTTATAGCAAGTAAAAATATAGATCAAAGAAATTTAAAATCAATTGGTAATACAAATTAGAGTGATATTAGGAAAATTTTTATACATAAATAAAAATAAAGTAAAACTTTTTAGAAAATGAACTAAATTTAAATAAAAAATTTATAAATAAAATTTTATCCAGGAAAATAATTGTAGAATTTACAACATAAAAACTTTAGGCTGATAATAAATAATTTTTTTTTGAATTATGTAAATAATATTATTTTTTATTAATTGATTTTATAAAAACAATTATTAAAAATAAAAAATTTTTATAAATTAATAAGAAATTTGCATATCATTTTTATATTTTGAACTTAACATTTTTCAACATAACATTTTCTATTTAAACTATTGTAGATTTCTTGTCATATGACATTTAAATTTGAATTAAAATATTTTATTAACAACTTTGATAATTTTTTAATAATTTTTTTTTTACATTTTTAATGTGTAATATAATTTTAAGACTCTTATTAAACGTACAATTATATTGTATAGAAATTGTTTAGGAAGTTAACAAATTGTAGTATACATGCTAAGTATAAGCCTAGTACGTAAATAATATAATAAATAAGCGAAAAAATATTTGTTTATATATGAGAAAATGCAAACTTTATTATTAAACTTACTAAGTAAAAATATAAAACTGGTGTTTTTCAAAGCATGCTGATGAAAGCTGATGTAGAAATTTAAAATTAATTTTTTTTTATATAAAGAAAGTATGTTATTTTATTTTATTATATAGAGTTATTTTTTATTAATTATATGGAGTAAAATCAAATTTTTTGCTTAATATGCAGAAAATATACATTTGAATATATATAAGGAAGTATATATTTGTGTGCGGTATGTATATTCAACTGACGGAAATTCATCTTCTTTTCTTGTGTTCTTTTAATAGTAAATATCCATCTTTTATCTATCATGAAAGTATTTCAGTTATAATATAATTTTTCAAAGGAGTTAAATTGTAAAGGATGTATATTTTATAAGGATTATAAGAAGCCGTCAATAAAGTGAAACTTGGTTAATACAAGATAAAGACCGTTTGTAGCATAATGATGTCAGGGAACTTCTCAGATCAGTTTAAAAGCAATCCTTGTCGTTATTTGCTTTCTAAAAATTTTATTTATAAGTTTTTCAATAATATTACATCATTAAAGGGGTAATAAAAAACCTCTCGGAAACATTATGACGTCTTTAAAAGACTGACTAAAAAGTGCTCGAAAATTCTTACAATTTTTGTTTCTTGAACATTTATCAAACGGTTCTTAGGTAAGTAGAATATAAAGAAATATATTAGAATACTGAAAAAATTAAGTTTGATTAATTTACATAATTTTTCATGGCTTCAACAATATATAATTTTTTAATTCTTACTAAATTTTTATTTTGAGCATTTTTCTAAAGTATGATCTAATAGGAATGAAGTAATATTAAAATAATATCAAGTCTAGAGATTTTAAAACTAAAGAAAATCCGTGACATCAACGAGATCTAAGATAATCCACACAAATATTAGAAAAAAAGTAGTTTACAGATACTATCTCCATATAAATAATACGCTATGTCATTCCTTTATCCAAGTTTACTATCTTAATATATATCATTTTGTAATTCGCACTTTTTTATGCTGTCATTTTATAATTAAGGATTTGATTACTATCAACGAATTTTTGTTAAAAGTCTTTTTGTGCTGAGGCATAGTTGTTTAAAATAATGTTAGAATAGGATCATTGTAAATTTATTTATAATATAGGAGCTTTATTTTATAAAACAGAGAATGCTTTTGTATTCTTAACTGCATATGATTTTTGTTTTAATGTTTATCTATTTACACTAAAAAATATATTTCATTTAAAATGTATATATCTCAAGTTAAATACATTTTAATTATTAAGACTTTAAACTATTTTCATAATTATTTATATTAATGATTTATAATCATTGTTAATCCTAAATGTGATATATGTACAAAATTGCTTACATTTATTTTTGGAATTTTATGTTTCTAACTTTATTTAATATTAAACTAAGATCGTTATTAAACATTCCAACAATTCCAACAGGAATATTCAGTAAGCAGCTTTTATAGTACCGCTGACAGCTTTATATTTTAGAATGAATAGCTTTCAATTAAGGATCGTTAAAAAGACGATCATATTACCCATTTTAAATTTAGACAATACAAAATAATAGCCCTTAAATAAAGTATTTTGGTAAGTAGCGCATATAATATTAAAGTTCAATAACAATTCTTTAAAATAACAAATACAAAAAAATTTAATTAAATTCAATTTAACACTTAATATAACAATTATATATAATATTAAAAATCCTAGAGTATTTCCTTGTAAGTTATCAATAACAATATGCAATATTGGCAGTTTTAAACTGCTGATTATTTTAATATCAATGATATGCCACATTTTAGTTGCAATTACAATTTGTGCCTTGAGCGAATTGTATAACGCCATAATCACCAGTGGTCATCCAGTCCGGTTTTATTTTAAATAATTCCTCCGCAACACCAGGTCGCAAACCACAAATTAAATCAGCTTTAACTGTGCGTAATGAGCAAATATTTGTGGGTTGAAAGCCTAAAGAGATATAAAAAAAATAAATATATAAGTATAAAGTTTTGGAAAAAAGCAAAAGAATCTTAAACTTACCACGTAAACATTTAACAAAACTTTCTGTTTTGTCCCAATTGTAGTCACCAATTAATTTACGATAATTTAAATCGCCCTTAAAAATTACAAGTCGAGATTCGGAAAGTTTTTTGTACAAATCTGGACGAACTTCTGACATTCTTTAAAATTTTAAGAGAAATTAATATATTAAGTAGATACAAAATCCAATTAAAAGTTATTATAATCTACATACCTATAAAATTCATATGGACTAGTCCAAAAGTGCTCAAGAGGTGATAGTTCAAATTTACCCTCTTCAACCAATTGTGTCCATTTTTTACCTAATTCACTAATAATTGGTGAATTATGTTCACTCAAATATTTAAGCGTACAATAGAAATCAGTAGGTGTTACATCGGATATAAACCAGGGTATAGATTTAACATTAAAACGCACTTTGGTTGCTAGCTGTTTATCGATTATGTATTCGCCAAGTACGAAATCGGTAAAAAGTTCATAGCCGGCATTATCACAGACGAAATCAACGGAACATTGTTGACTTTCATTTGTGTGTATACATTCACAAATTTCTGCCGTATTATCGGCAATTAAATTAGAGTCCAATGACTTGATTATTTCAACTGCATCCTCCGTCGGTTTTACTTCTTTACCAGATGTTATAGAAAGATCACAGCGATTACCCCATAAATTAAGCTATAAATAAATTTATATATGTATTTTTAATTTGTAATTGAAACTTTACAGTTATAACTTACTTTGAGAAGACGTACAAACATGTCAGCACTTTTTTCTACGTTACGCGTATATTTTGCTATTGTTTCCATGGCATCTATACTTATCTGTAGTGCATTGACCTTTTGTTTGGCAAAGTAATCATAACTCTTTAGCGCTGTGGTTGCTTCAAAAAATGAAGAAACTTTCCGATACATGTAACACTCAGCATAGAGCCAGCAAGTTTCGAAAAAGGTATTCTTGCCATCTGGCAATTTTTCAATGAAGTCGTTCCAAACATGCTTATCTGGTTCTAAGTATCAAATAAAAAATAAAAATTTTGTAAATTATTATCGCAAATTGGGATATAACAGGTCTGTTCCACGAGCTACACGTAGTAAAATTCAATTAAAATTTACTGTGTATACACAGTGTTACTCAAAGTTACTACGAGTAGCTCCTGGAACAGACCTAATATTTGTGTCAAACCATTTTCTGTGAATGGCTCCAGATTTTTGTCAGTTTGAAGTTGATATTTGAGCTTTGACAGTAGTCCAACTACGTTTTTAATTTCCTCACGAGCATTCTATTAAGAAAATGAATGATTAAAATTAAGAAGCTTTACCTATGAATATAGTATATTATTAATAGATTTTTAAAACCACAACTAGCAGGAAACGATACCGCATTTTTATATGATAAGTAAGTATATAAAAATGCAATAACATGTAAAGTCATACTTATATTTAAAGCAAAATGTAACCCAACAGAATAATAATTATAAAATAACATATTTTTTTTTAAAAATGCTAACACAATAATTCATATAAAATTAGATAAATTGGGTAGTTACTTACTTCGCCATATTCATTTGCCAGTTCATCTTTATCTTTGGCTAGATTATCAATTATACTTGTAAGCGTCACTGGCAAACGTTCGCGTAAGGTATAATAAGCGAAGCTCCTATAAGGTTAAAAGTTTATTTAGTATAATAAAAAATATAAATATTGAGAAGTTACTCAACTGTTTATAATGTCCTGATAAATCAGTATTCAGAGGCGTAGGTTCATCCACTATATTATACTTACTATCAAAATCAGTTGTCATTTTGCTAGATAAAGTATTATGTTTCCGCTTAAAGGTGACTTGTGTGTAGGTCACAAAAAAATTATGGTTACTCAATGTATAAGCAAATTTTCCAAAATGATATTGAAGCTGTACTGCTTTAAACTTTTTCCAAACTGATGCGCTTAATATAGCAGACACAAAAAAATTTGATTTAACAACAAATATATTAAAAAGTTATATTTATAACGCTACAAAAGTTTTTCTATTTAAAACCTTGACAAACTGGCAAGAGAATGAGAACAACAAATAAATGCAGCAAATAACAGCTGTTAAGCAGCTGACATAAATACACCATGCAGTTTTTAAATATCCCAATCTGGTATAAAATTTAAACAGCTGCTCGCATTTACTTATAGAGTTACCAAGGCTTTCGTGTATAATATTTGAAAGTTGTTAGTTTTTTGAAAATGCTATTAAAGATATGTGTGAGATATGACATTGTTTTATAAGTTCGAAATAATATCCTGCAAAATACAATATATTTCTTACATATGTTAATTGTCAAAAGGTAGTAGATAACAAATCATTACATTATTATTTTTGACATTTTTATAAAGCAATATTTAGATTATATATGTAAATAATTGTTAAAGGTGGTACATTAAAAATATTTTTAATAAGCTTATGCTATTAAAAATGTATAATTCGTTGTAGCATATTCATAATTTCTCATTTAGGCGGTTTATCATATATAATAATGAGGTTGATTTACTATACAAAAAGTTTTCTTATAAATGAGCTCATTAACAATATATCAGTTCATTTAAGTTGAAAAATGTCGAATGTAATCATTTAAATTAATTTTGCACAAGGGAAATTACCAAAATGTTATATATGTGTCATTTTTTTATTTAAAATGTAAACAACAACAGCTAAGCTGTAAACAAAAGTACTGAGTTAATAAATATTAAATGAAATTTTTGTTTTTATTAATTGAATATGTAATTGATATATATAGAATGTATATAAACGCATTCGTTCGCTTTGGTGTGGATGCACCTTTATAAGTGATGTTTATAAAAGTTTATAGAAGTTCAGCTGCATAAATGAGCTCATTACCATATAATAGGTCTGTTCCACGAGCTACTCATAGTAACTTTGAGTAAACACTGTGTATACATAAGCGCGTTCCACCAGCAAATTTTGAAGTATTTTTAGGCGTATTCGGTGGCTCGCAAGTACGGCAAAAAACAGCAAGTTGTTGGCCTATGCAGGCCTGTACTGGCCGCAATGTATGCAAAACAACAACAATATTTTCTCTACCTCGGCCAGCATAGTTATGCTGGCCAACCACATCGGTCAGTAAAAAAAAAATGTTACCAACGCAATAAGCGAACTATTGTGAACCTTCATTGAAAATTCCAACGAATAGTGCAATCAAATGTCAAAAATTGAGGAAATAAAAATTCAAACAGAATTCAAAAATTTGAAAAATCTTGAAAAGTAACGAAGAAATAATAAGAATGGAGAAATCGTAAGTATTAAGCACATTGAATTTTTTATTATGTTAGTTATTACCAAGTAACATTTATTTTATTTCTTTTAATTTGTAGTTTACATACGTAAAATTAATAAACAAACATAATTTTTGAAGTTTTTCTAAAAAATTTTTTATAGAAATACACCCAAACTATGGACCACAAAGGAAACAAAGTGTTTTCTAGAGTGCTACTTGACACGAAAGGAAGAGAATCTTCAGAGGAGGTTGTTGCGGCATTCATAACATTTAAAAAATCCGTGAAACAACTTGCATCCCTCGGCCTCTGCAAAACGTTGCTTCCTTCTCCCAACATCGACAGTACCTACAAAAATTTACTTATCTTAGTGTTTTATTTTTAAATTTTCAATATTCTTACCATTCCTTTTAATTCCTTGTTCATTTTAATTTTATAATATTTTTATAAAAATATATTTGATTTATATGCACATATACAAGATTTGCTGTTTGTCAAAATAAAACATTTGACAGATTGCAACAGTGATGCCAATGACTCGCGTGGCCAACATAGGCCAACATGCATTTTTTGCCGTACTTGCGAGCCACCGAAAAGGCATTTTGTGTAAATTTTACTTCTGTTTTACTCATGTTTTACTATGAGTAGCTCGTGGAACAGACCTAATGTTAACGTTCATTCATTAATATAAATAAACAAGTGTCTAAATGGAAAGTGTGAATGTACTATTAATTCTTTTCTTTTTTTATAGTGTATTCAAAATGTATTGCTCTATTATTCTTTTGCATTTTTTATAAAAAATACTTGAAAATAGTCGTTTTATATCGATAAAAGCGCAAAGAAATAATAATAGCACTTCAGACTTTAACGATTGTTGAATTATTCTTTTATACAAATTAGGTCTGTTCCACGAGCTACTCGTAGTAACTTTGAGTAACACTGTGTATACACAAATGCGTTCCCCAGTAAATTTCCGAGTAAATGAGAACATCTGAGAGAACATGACATCTTGAAATTTTCGGAATTTAAACATGTTACACAAACTTGTTGATGTGTGAATCAGCTGTTTTAGTTTGAATTTAAATTTTTGTATGGTTTACTTGTGCGGCACTGGTGTTCTCACCAGGCTTTACAAAAACCTGTTCCATGAAATGGCGTGTAAATAGCGCAATTTGGCACTTTATTTCTGTTACACTCTCAGTTTGTATTTTACTTGTGTTTGTAACACCCTTGAGCTACACAACCAACAATACATATTTAACACTCTTATAGTTATATTTGAAATTCGGTTCCTATGTGTATGAATTTAAACTATATATAATAATGTGTTTATTGCTTTACGTCATATGAAATTTAATTTTTTGTAAAAGATTTTAGTTCATATAAAGAATAAATAAAGATTTTTACCATGTGAAGCTCTGTCTGGCCAATATACAATTGTACATTCAATCAAAGTAAATAAGAAGTTCGTGATTGAAATGTTTACCAACACTGCTTTTAAGTTAAAAAAAATGTTGTGCTGTCAATAATCAAATTCATTTTTCCCACAGTGAAAATTTTTGCAGTTTCATATAAAGCTTGGAATTTTTTTATTAATAATATCTCATATTTAAGGTATAAACCAATTTAATAAAATAGTTTTTGTTACAAATCAAAAATAATCATATCTATAGCTATTAGAAAAACTACGAAACTCTTAACAAGAATGAAAATATAAAAATTCAAAGTATTTACAAAGAAAATTCATGTGAAAAATCTATACACTTTGTTTTGTAAAAATGGGGGCGGATTGTGTGATTATGTTCAGTAATGTATTTCAAGTTCACGAAAGGATAAAGCAAGTGTTAAAGCCGTAAAATAAATTCCGATACAGAGCACTGATAACGAAAATCAAAGAATTGCAATTCAAGAAAAAGCATTAAAAATTTACAAACAAACATATGTGATGTACTTTTTACACAAAAAAAAAAAAATATAAAAAATCCAAAAGCTCATCGTTTAAAAGAAAAAATTAAAACTCCAAATTGTATTATTGTAAAATTGTATTAATTAAATAGTTGATTTTATTGTTCACTCTGAACCAGATTGTACTTTAAAATTGAACGCGCTTCTACTAACTCAATATTTTCCGACCACAAATTATTCATATTCAGGTTTCTAACTCCTTCTACAGAAGGCAGAGGAGCGTTATATTTCAAAAAAATTTTCTTTATTTGTGGGTATTTATTAAGAAGCGTAATATCATTAGACTCTTCATTAAAATACATTTGCATTATTAGATCTGCTTTTTTTAAACGGTTATGTACAGCATTTGCTCTTGGTCGCGATGGTCTATCTGAGTCTGAATCGCTGTCATATGTAAAGAAACTTTCGACCATTGGAGATCTATTATATTGAATTTCACTCAACTCGTTGGTAATAGCATTTTTAAAATGCTTTAAAATAATAGCACGTTCTGCAGCGCTGACCAAATGTAACCAGTTATCTTTAAAACGTGGATATGATAAAGCAGCAAGTGACGCATTAATGCCATCATCATGGTTATATCTAAAAATATTATTAAACCGGTAATCGAAGCTCTGAATATAAGTTTCCAATAGAGGTTTGCAATATGCTAAACCTTTTCTATGTATTCTTTTGAATTTTTTTCTCAACGTAAGTAAGCAAGGTAACACAATACCAAAAAATGTGTTTTCCTTTCCTTGCAAAATATCAAGTGCCTCTGTATAAGGTTCCATACATTTCAAATATTCGTATAAATATTTAAATTCTCGTTCATTTATCAAAATATCGAGATTTAATGTTTTCTGAAGTTCCGTTATTTTAGGTCTTATTTTATATATTACTTGTAAAGACTTGTATAAATTGTTCCAATCTCCAGCATGGACTCTGAGAATTTCAAAACCTAATATGTCTTTTATCATTTTCAAATTATGGTCTGAATGTCGACCCCAAAGAATATTACATTTCTTCAGTAAACTGTAATGTAGACCTACCATTATATGAGTCGATGTATGTAAAAATGCATTGGCTTCATTTATAGCGCATAAAGTAAGCGTCTGAGCGACGCACATCAAATCTGCACAAACTTTAATACGAGTATAATTTACTTCATTTCCATTCGCAGTTGCATTGTTCATGATAATACTGTCCAATACTACACCAAATTTCTTAAAAGATGATATAAATGGGTTGTTATAGTTTCCTACGGCGCCGTCTACAACATCATAATTGAATTGAAAGTCCCTCATTACAACTTCTAAGTCTCTAGGTATAGGCCTATAATACGGCGCGTTTACTTGAATTTTGCGAATTGTCACAGCTTTTGATCGCCTGCGCAAATCATCGGAAATCCAGTGCATAGTCACACCAATTCTAAGACAGTCAAATTCTTCGCGAATGTTAATCATAAGGCAAACACATTCAGCATCATTAAAAGTGTAACGCATACCTCTCATTTGTTCATAATGATTGTTAATTATGCTGTCCTCTAATTCCTTCTTGTTCATTATTGTATATCTTTCACCGGGAAAAAGTTTAGCAAAGTATTTATCTTCTATTACGTTTAGCGGACACAATGAGTGTATGAAAAAATTCATAACATCTTTATTAAATTCCTCCTGACTCCTTGATTCCCTTGGTTCAATTAAATGAACTGTTTCATCTTCGGTTTCAGAACTATTACTTCTTTCCATTTTAATATTATTTCGTTACTTCGCGAAGAAATCTCTACCGTGTTTGCTTTGCAAATGGCTTTAGAAATTATAAAATTATTGCGGTAGTCTTTAGTTTAAGTTTCCTTAACAAAGCTTTTATTGGAAGTGACTACACTATTAGTGTAATTGGTAAACGGTTCTATAGTGCGAAAAGTTTCAATCCCGCTCTGTCTGTTGTAGCTTTTGAAGGTTAAAAAGTTCAGAAATTTGCTTTATTGTAATTTAAAAACGTGTTTCGCTGTGATCTAAAGTTTTTTCACACAAAAGTTAAACAATTGTATTTTTTGTTTGTTTTTAAGTATATTAATTATTTGATGTTTTTATATGCATAGTAGAAAATCAAAATCTTTCACAGTCATATAACTAATTTGTGTGCTAATTTACTGTAAATTTTAAACGTAACTGTAGAATCCACAAATGTGCAATCAATTTCCCACCATAGATCTCAGAGTTGTATTTAATTTAAATATTAATATTGAACGATACACCATAAGGGAGATCTTAGCTGCCTTATTAAAAAACCACTTCTTTGTTCAATTTCTTTTTTGTGTTTATTTTATTCGCTTCAAATTTTTTACTGACAAGACTTAAGAGCTGTTTTTAGATTCAAGCATAAACTCATTAGAAAATTCATATATTTGTTAGCTATTCGCAATTGTTTGTACTTAGCATGTTAGGTAGAAATGATCAGGAATGAAAATACATAAAATAAACAACACTTACAACGATAACAGAATCATCTAAAATTATTTAATTAAAAAACACAGATCACACATTTTTAATTTTTTAATATAAAAAAACACTTATAACACATAATGAGAACAAAAATTGATACCCTCAAAAAAACACGTTCTAGGTCATTGCATATTTTGGGCTTTGGGTCGTGCCAAAACATGGAAAAATTTAGGGGGGAAAAAAATAGATGTTTGAAAATTCTTGGATTTAATTCATTTTATAATAGACAAACACACAATCACAAATAGTGGTCCTTTGGTTCTTGTGGTCATTTGAATGCCTCAGTATTCGTTAAACCTTCGTTTGTTACTTTTCAAATTGACTTGAAGTTCTTCTAAATAAAACGATCCTCAGGAACGAATGGAATATGGATGAATTGTTGTTTGTTTTGAAAATTGTAGTGCTTTACTAGTTTCTGAGTATTCATTGCATTCTTCTTTTTAGCTGAACAACATTTTTTTTGTTCTGAGATGTTGATTTTATTCAGTTAGAACCTTAAGATTGAATTAGTTGTAGTAGACGTAGCGAACATAGAAAATGTATAGGGCAGAATGCAGAAAAAGTCATTAATTACGATAGAACACACAGCGCAAAACTATATAAAAACACAAACAACACAAGCTCTATCCGATCACTAAACAGCTCACATACACAGAAGTGCAATGTAATTGGTCATTGTTTGTATCAGCTGATATAAGGTTTCCCCTAAGTTACGTAAAGAAACAATAATTGGTTCTACCATCTCTCCATATTTTTAGTTTGGCACAGATAATCGAATTCATTGCTTTAATAAGGTAAAATGGGTCCGCTGATTCCTTCTAGCGCAACAAATTTGGTTTTTAAAGGCATGAACTACTTCTGCCACAGATGTGCCAGTATTGCCACGAGTAGTAATCGTTTTTGATATATATAGTTCCAGACAGGAAAGACTTCTTCTATGATTAAAATCCAGCACTGGAAAGATTTTTCTTAAAAACGGGCGGTTGAATACGCTTGTGAGTAACAAAATTATTTGTCATTAGGGGAAATATAAATGCGGAATATTGTCACTAGGTCGAAAGGTAACGAATTGGATATAGTAATTATATGCACCTATTCTAATCTATGAATTAAGTACGATTTTAATCATATACCTTTGGTTGACTTTTTAATAACATATAGACCTTTATGTACAATTTTAATCTAATCTTTTTTTACATTGTTTTCGGGGAAATGTATTTACTTTGTAAAAAAGTGTTGAGTTCATTACATTTCCAGTTCAACATTTAGTCAATAAATAACCTTTGCAAAAAATTGCAATGGCAAAAGTACTTATATTTGTGGCGAGTATTGCATGTTACCAAGTTATCACTGGGAGTCCAATTAATAAAAAAAAGTTGATATAAATTTAACCTTAATATCTACAGAAAATTATTAACTATCAAATAATTGCGAACCGAATATCCATCATTAATAAAATTACTGTACACATTTTGAAATTCTAAGTATTATTTTTGATTTCGACACTTAAAAGTGTGAAGAACTGTATTTTTTGTTTGTGTAAGTTTTAAATGAAAACCATAAAATAAAAAAAGGATTTTAAAATTTTGTGAACTATTCCCAAACAAATTAAACAAAAAAGATATTTGCTAAATTTTTAAATTCAGAAGTTAAAAAATGAAATAGCCTCTATAGAAAAAATTTTAAAAATGTTTGAACATTATGTTATGTTATGAATCAGTTAGCATTTTTTAAAACTTCAATTTTGCTTAACTCATTTAAGTGGATAGTGCGTAACAATTCGTAATCCAATAAAAGTGAATACATTATCCTTAATTCACTTTCATTGGATAATGTGTTCTTTCGCACTATCCATTTAAATGAATTTTGGTCGTACTAAAAAATAGTTATAGTATGCAATGCCCCACCATTGCAATTTCAATAGTTATTGTTTTCCGTACATAGTTTTTGAATTTGCATTAGTGCTTCTTGTTTTCATGATCTTTAAAAAGCAAATATATAACTTGAGCATTCAAGCATAAAAGTGTTGTTTAAGTCGCACAAATGTTTTATAGAAACATTTTTAATATTAAAATAATCTGTGAAGAAACTAGGACACAAGTGTAATAATACAGTGATTAAATACTTAAGTTAATTAATAATTAATTTATTTTAAAGAATTTTTCCAAGTTTGTAGAATTTCATAAGAATTAATAATTATTACTAATAGATGGGAGCATATACTGTGTTGAATAGCTTAGATTACATTTAAAAATTTTATTTATTTTATTAATTTCTTAATTTCCCAAAACTTACGTCGTGAAGAATAGTTAACCATTATTTTATAATTGCTGGTTTTCCCGAAATAGCTTATATACATATATCGATTATCATATATCGATTATAAAACAATTAAGATTATTTCGAATTTAATCTAACAGTTTTATTAGTTTTAAACTATTTAATTGTAAATAAATATTTTATCGAGAAAATCAACTATTATTTAACTAAAATATGTTTCAAAGCGCCACTTTTAATTTTTTTTTAATATTTTTCAGATGATCTAGTAAGAAAATTAGAAACCCACTTCCGTTTAATGTAAAAAGGGGAAAAGTCTTTAATAAAACATTCCTAGTTTTATTAATAATTAAATATCAATATGGCTATGTCGAAAGTAATACGTGTTTTGGAGAAATCCATTGCGCCTTCACCGCATAGCGTATTACTGGAACATCGGAATAAAAATGATAGCATACTCTTTGAGTCACATGCTGTGGCTTTGTTAACGTCACAAGAAACCGAAGTTATACGTAAACAGTATTCTAAAGTATGTGATGCTTATGGTTGCTTGGGAGTTCTTCAATTGAATGCTGGCGAAAGTACTGTGCTCTTTCTAGTGCTGGTCACTGGTTGTGTGTCGATGGGAAAAATTGGTGATGTAGAAATTTTTCGCATCACACAAACCCAATTCGTATCATTGCAGAATGCAGCACCTAATGAGGATAAAATTTCGGAAGTTCGAAAACTACTTAACTCGGGAACATTTTATTTTGCTCACACAAATACTAGTTCAATAAGTATTAGTAAATTTGACATTACATTATGTGCTCAGCGTCGTTATCAAACTGATGAAACGGATAATCGTTTTTTCTGGAATCGTATGATGCATATACATATGTTGCGTTACGGTATAGATTGTCAGGCTTGGTTGATAAAAACTATGTGTGGTTCGGTTGAAGTTCGGACGGTATATATCGGTGCAAAGCAAGCAAGAGCAGCAATTATATCACGTTTAAGTTGTGAACGTGCTGGTACACGGTTTAATGTAAGAGGTAAAAACTTCTAACCTTATTTACTATATTAAAATTTATATACTTACATATATATTTCATTTTCAGGTACTAATGATGAAGGACATGTAGCAAATTTTGTGGAAACGGAGCAAGTAATTTATGTTGATAATGAGGTTACTAGTTACGTACAAACTCGTGGTTCAGTACCGCTCTTTTGGGAACAGCCTGGAGTTCAAGTGGGTTCCCATAAAGTTAAGTTATCGCGCGGATTTGAGGCTTCTGCCGCTGCTTTTGATCGTCATATGTCTATGATGAAACAACGCTACGGTTACCAAACTATTATAAATTTATTAGGCACTTCACTTATTGGCAGCAAAGAAGGAGAAGCTATGCTTAGCAATGAGTTTCAGCGGCATCATGGTATGTCGGCACATAAAGATGTACCACACATTATATTCGACTACCATCAGGAATGCAGAGGTGGTAATTTTTCTGCTTTATCCAAACTAAAGGAACGTTTAAATGCATCCGGTGTTAATTACGGCATTTTCTACGCATGTAACGATGAAGTGGTACGTGAGCAATTTGGTGTTATACGAACAAACTGCTTGGATTGCTTAGACCGCACAAACTGTGTGCAAACGTATTTAGGTTTGGATACATTAAATCAACAAATAATAGCTTTGAAACTGGGTGAGAAGAAACAGAATTTTTCTCGTTTTGAAGAAATTTTTCGGCAAATGTGGATAAATAATGGTAATGAAGTAAGTAAAATATATGCGGGTACGGGTGCGATCCAGGGTGGTTCAAAACTAATGGATGGCGCACGTTCAGCTGCGCGGACTATACAAAACAATTTATTGGACAACTCAAAACAGGTAATTATCGCGCAATAAGTGTTTTTGCTGAATATGAATTTTATTTGAATTTGCAGGAAGCAATTGACATTTTGCTAGTGGGCTCAACACTAAGTTCAGAGTTAGCGGATCGTGCTCGAATACTATTGCCTTCAAATATGTTACATGCACCTACGACAGTATTACGTGAAATGTGTAAACGATATACTGAGTACATAAAACCGAAAACAGCTCGAATTGCAGTAGGCACTTACAACGTAAATGGCGGGAAGCATTTCCGTAGTATCGTTTTTAAGGATTCTTTATCAGATTGGCTGTTGGATTCGCATGCACTGGCACGCTCAAAAGCTTTAGTTGATGTCAATAATCCATCCGAGAATGCTGGTCATCCCGTGGATATTTATGCTATAGGTTTTCAGGAAATTGTTGATCTTAATGCTTCAAATATTGTTGCAGCAAGTACAGATAATGCAAAATTATGGGCTGAGGAATTGCAGAAAACTATATCTCGAGATAACGATTATGTATTGCTGACTTACCAACAACTCGTAGGCGTGTGTCTCTACATATATGTACGTCCAGAGCATGCACCACATATACGTGATGTAGCTATCGATTGTGTTAAGACGGGCTTAGGCGGAGCAACTGGTAACAAAGGTGCTTGCGCTATACGTTTTGTGTTACATGGTACATCGATATGTTTCGTTTGTGCACATTTCGCTGCTGGACAATCTCAGGTTTGCATATATTTGATTCATAATATTGTATTCTGTTAACTAAACGTACAATAGGTGGCTGAGCGTAATGCTGATTATGCAGAGATAACTAGAAAATTAGCTTTTCCAATGGGGCGAACGCTTAAATCACATGATTGGGTGTTTTGGTGTGGTGACTTTAATTATCGAATTGATATGGATAAGGAAGAATTAAAAGAAGCAGTTCGCAATGGTGATTTGGCAGCAGTTTTGGAAAATGAGCAATTAAGAAAAGAGCAAGAAGCAAACAATGTTTTCAGTGATTTTCTGGAAGGTGAAATATCTTTTGATCCAACTTACAAATATGATTTGTTTAGTGAAGATTATGATACATCTGAAAAGCAACGTGCACCAGCCTGGACAGATAGAGTTTTATGGAGACGTCGAAAAGCATTAGCAGAATCTGATTTTATAGCTACCGAATGGAATCCGGGAAAGTTAATACATTATGGTCGTTCAGAACTTAAACAAAGCGATCATCGTCCAGTAATTGCAATTATTGATGCTGAAATTGTAGAAATTGAACAGCAACGTCGTCGTGAAGTAAGAAAAAATTAAATTTTTGTTATATATGTTAAACACTGATAAATTTTAACAAATTTGTTGTCTGCTATTTTTGAATAGGTTTTCGAAGAAGTTATAAAAGATTTGGGCCCACCGGATTCGACAATCGTGGTACATGTAATCGAAGCTTCTGCGGATGAAGACGGACCCACAATTTATGATGAAAATGTTATGTCAACTTTAATACAGGAATTATCTAAAATGGGTGAAGTAACACTTGTACGTTATGTCGAAGACACAATGTGGGTTACATTCCGTGATGGTGAATCGGCTCTGAATGCTGTTGCTAAACGTCAAACTAATATTTGCGGTTTGGAATTGCATTTTGAATTAAAATCTGAAGATTGGCAGCATTTAGTTGATAATGAAATCGAATTATGTACGACTAACACTATTGCACTGTGTGCAAATCCCCAGGAACAAGCACAATTAATTAACGTTACACCTGAAATACCGCAAAGACCAAAGCAGCCACCAGCACGTCCTGCACCGGCCCGACCACCTATGCCTATGTCACCGAAAAATTCACCACGACATTTACCACATGTTGGTGTTATTAGTGTGGTGCCGGAAATGTTACAGAAACCTGCTAAGCCCCCTATGCCACCACAACCAATGCAGCAACCACTTCAGCCTATACAAGTAGCGCCCCAGCGTCCAGCAGCTATAAGTGCATTGGCTAATAGTGGAGAAAACACTCCTTCATCTAAATCTCAAACGCCTACTGAACAACAGTCGCCGTTACATTCATCATCTGGTAAAGGGTCGCCGGTTGGATCCGGTTCAGGAGGTGGAGGCTCTGTACCACCTACGCCTCCACGACAAACGCAAAGTAAAAATGTAACACCAGTTTCAACGCCTTTACATCAGTCTAAACAAGCATCTGCAGATTTGGGAGATAATTATGATTTAACAAGCAATATTTATGAAGAAATACAAGATGATATGCCGGCTCCAAGGCATCCACCGCCACCTTTTCCACCGGCAATGTGTACAGACAATGCTAATAATATAGAAAGTCCACGTCGAGCTGTAACAGTACCGAATGGAGCACCAATGGGTCCACCGCCACCGTTACCTGCCAGACGTGGGCCACCTCCTATACCTAATCGTAGCAGCAATGCACCACCTCTACCGAATAGGCCAAATAATTACTAAAGCAAATCAAATTGTAGCGAAAATAATTATTACTATGGTACATTATTAACGCCCGTATAATTTTAGTATATTTCATATCTTTCTCTTTTTTGTCTTTAGAAACTACAAAAGAGTACTTAAATAGACTACAAAGATCTGCTTTACTCAACACTATTAGGCCAATAATAATGCATATGGCAATATAGCTTTATCACATAACGAGCATTCCAAACAATTAATTATAATTTTTAAATCAATATATGTATATATATAACGAAAGTTGTAATTTATTATATACGTTAATACTTTTAAATATTTTTAATTTATCCTGTAATTTTATTATTATTTATTTTATTTATATATTGGCTAAGTGTAATGTATTAATAAAATCTTGCCAAATAATAGGAACAATTATTAAACTTATGAAGAAAGTATATAGTATACATAGTCCAAATTTATTACGTTATTGAAAAGGTTTATATATTTTAGTTAAGTTATAATTAATAATAATTTATTGTGAAACTCTACAGTTGTATTATAATTTGGTATTTACATATTATAAAAACAATATCAAAAATTCCTTTAAAGTTACTATTATAATATATGGATGAATATATTTCTTTAAAACTGGGTAAAAAATTGGTTATTTTTTATTGTGAATGTATGCAAAAATGCAACAAAATTTTAAATGAATTTATTATATCATATAAGTGATATATATAGTTATATATTTATTTGAAATAATATATATATAATGCGCTTAGCATTTAGTAACAAAATATCATAACAAAAACCTAACTATAAAATTATATGTAGCAGCTGTTTTTAGAAGCAATACATTTAACATAATTAAGTAAGAATTTCTACCTTTCTGAAGTGTGAAAATATTTTAAATAATTTAATTGAAAATAATTATTTTATATTAAAAAGAATATTTACATGAAGTTAGTATATTTTAGAAACCTATTAGTTACTGATAAACATTCTAGTAGAAAATTGAATATAACTACTGCTCAGTAAAGTCATACTTGAAGTGAATTTATAATATTGTCCATACAAAACAAGTAATTCTTTAAACAGTTAATTAATATGTCTTAAAAATTTTATTTCTCTATATGTGGACTTCCCAAAATAACTAAATTAATAACTAAAATGAAATAATAATGAAATTTTTATATATTTGGCATGACTTCGATTTCCTAAGCACGTTAATTTGACTATGGATTTTAGTATAGGCAGCTCATTCTTTTACAATATATATAGATATAGATTATTTTTTGAGTTATCTTAGTTTAAAATTGTTAAATTTTTACATTGGTTAGATTTACAAAAAACTTGCAAATTTTTATATGCAAATTTTAATAATAATTTTTTATTTTACGGACTATTTGGTCAATAATTAATAATAAACTTTTTCAAAATTTTCATCAGGGTATAGTAAGTGTATTTATAATTCCTTTCGATTTTATCTGGCGTATAGGTTTCTATGGGTTATCAAAACAACAAGTAGACGCTACAGACGTTCCATCTACTTGTTTTTGGTGGTTTTTTAATAAACAATTCCAACTATGAATCCTGATACTCTAAAAAATGAACTATATTAATATATATCGTTGTATACAATTCTATTCATAATAAGTGCTATTACAAAAATCCGTTCTCAAATAGGTATGTTCAGAATAACGAAATCGTGCCTCAAGTATTTATATATATTCATATATTATTATTAGGTTCTAAAATAGAATAATTATAATTATTTAAAGTCACAAAACTCAAAACATTCAGAAAGTATTAAAAGTTATATATATCTTTTATGAAGGATGAACAATTTCAAAGTGCTAGTCAAATATTTAAAATTAAAATATTTAAAACAACTAAAGGCTCTCTACCTAAGTAAAAAATGAACAAATAAAATTAGTAATCAAATAAATATGTAATGAAAAATACACACTAAAATGCAGGCATGCATATATTATTGTTATTATGTACTACATTGCTTTTGGAAGCGATTTAACAAGTTATTAAAAAATACAAGATAATAAATGTATTATTAGTAAATCATATATAAACGTTATATTGTATAAAATATGTATAAAATTAATAAAATTGCATTATATATATTTTACATAGTATGCTTTAAATTTAATGTCATAAAGGTTTTAGTGTTCGATAAGAGCTCAGAAAATGATAAGAAGAAATGTTTAAAAGGGGAAGTTTTTATTAAGTGTGATTTTGTGATTCAAGCTAGCAGAGCACATAATAAGATTTTTATTTATTTATTTGTAAGTTAACATTAAAATTAATTTTAAAGTTAACTAAGAATAAAGAACTGGACTGCTAAAGAATAAGGAACTGATTCTACTGAATTGTATCTAATTATTCTAAATCATCTGCAAGTACACTGAATTAAAAAAACACGATGAAATCTATTTTAAAATTACAAATTTTATTTTTAGATACATTAATTACTAAACACTAATAGCACTCTATCAACAAGCGAATAAATCTATTTTCTTTAAAATTTAAACAATTTAAAACTATTATAATTTTTTCTTAAAATTAAAAAACAAACATTTGATTTTAATATTAGAAACCTTTGGGCAAGGTATCTAAAGGAAAATTCTTGCGGTTTTGTAATGCAGTGCACGGTCGTTGTTGACGCCAAAACTCCTGACGTTTATTAAGAAACTCCACTGCTTCTTTAGCATAAGCTGATATATTTTCAGTGTTAGTATCGGCACGCACTAGATCTGGATGTTTCAGTAGATTTTCCAAATATTCTTTATCAATGCATAGCTCACCTAATAGCTTTCTAGCATTTCTTCGTTCTAGTTCGGCTTTTGTTGGTTTAGGACGTGTTGGTCGACAACTGTTCAACTGTGAGGATTTTGGTGTATTGTCACCCGATTTTTTTAGCTTCACCTTTGGTAGTGGTTTAACACTAGCACCACGGTCAACACTTCCAATAGTATTTTCTATTGCTTCTTGAGTTTTTTGTACTCCTAAACGAAATGTATCCAATTCTGGTCGTGCACGTAAACCGCGATGAAAAAACATTAAACTCTGTTCGAATTGGCCAAGATAATAAAGAGCCTCAGCCTTTTGGTATATTGCACGTATATTGTTTTTCTCTTCAGTTAGTGCAGTTTCAGCATCACACAGTGCTTTAGAGGCTTCACCCAATAATAAGTAACATTTGCTACGTGAGATGAGTGCATTCATGTCAGTGTTATTGAGTTCCAGTGCCTGAAATTAAAAGAAAAGAAAATTACTATTAAAAAAGTGTTCTAACACAAATAGGTATTATTTTTGCTTAATTAAGAATAAATTAGTGTATTTAAAGGAATTGTGGTCCTTTCTGCAACTCTAACCTTTGTGAAAAAATGTATAGCATTTTCAGGATTAGCATTTTTTATTTCTTTTAAACCTAGTGCGATTATAGAATTTATATCTGCTTCATCAGGTATAATCATTGCCTCATTACGATCCTGTTTTTGTTTAATTTGTAAACTTTGTTTTATATCGAAAGCACCAGCGCTAACAGCAGCTGCTCGATCCTTATCCGTGTAGAAGTCGATAAAATTTTCTTTCGGTTTCTTCTTCTTCAGTAATTGATCATCCATATGTTTTCGCATTGCACGAAGTTCTGCTTCTATGCGATTACCACGTGTCACAGTACTCTTTTCTAACTCTCCACCATCACCTTGCTTTGCAGCCGTTTTACCCATTAATCCACGGCCATCGCGTGTTTTAAGCTTAAAAGGCGATGAAGTTCTTCGCTTACTGCGCTTTTCATCTTCATATGGTGGCTCTTCATCGACCTGCACTCCAACAAAGCTTTGCAATAATTCCTGTTCTTTATCGACAGCTAAGAATTGTTTAAGTACATTTGACATTTTTGTATAGAATTTATTTATTGTTTATATTGAAATAATTTTTATAAAGAAAAGAACTGATACTAGAATCAAAACGGATGAAGTGTTAAAATTCACACTTCGCTTTTCCAATAACAAGAAAATGAAAAATTGATTGATTGGTTGTTGCCAGGAAACTGATACGTTAATCAATATGCGGGTTACGTTTTTGCAAAATCCACATGTGGTCATACAAGTGACCTACTAAAACTGTAAAACTGTGAAGGAACTATTTGTATAAAGTAACAGAACTCAGTTCTTGTTTATTTCCAAACAGAAACATTTGTTTATGAATGTTTTCAATAAAAATAACAACAAATATTTTTTCAGTAGAAAGTATTGTTTAAATTTCCTGAGTTCGGGTATGTTCTTATTAACAAATTAAAGGTCATTATCCCCCCACTAAAAGTAGAAATAATATAATTTTTGTTTTGAATGTATTACTAATAAGTTCTTCTGGATGTTATAAGCAAATATCTAGGATCATGGGCGTACACAGGGCCAAAATTAGGGGGTGGCGGCGCTGATATACTTATTTGATATTATTACATATTTTAAAGTGTGAGGAGAGTACCTACTCTTTAGTACTTTTTTCTTTTTGGCTTATATTAACTAGTATATTTCACCCCTAGTTCATTGAAAACTTCAAAATTAGATTTTGTTTACAAAAAAGATAAATTTTAAACTTTTCTTGTAAGCAGAATAATAAAAAATTTAATAAAAACAATAATAACATTTTAAAAAAGGAGGGGGGGGATAGGCTCCCGTTTCTACTTATGTACGCCCATGTCTAGGACTCTATATTTGGGATTCAGTGCTAATCATTTAAATTAAATTTTCAATTATTACTTAAAAATATTTTCACTTAATGAATCTCAGCCTACTATAGTTGATTTCTATTATTTTCAAACTATATATATAAAATTTATAGAATAGACTGTGCGTTTTGATTTTTCAATTGGATAATTAGGTTAATTTTGGACTGCTAGGCTCAAATCAGCAACCCATTTTTGTAGACATCTGAGTATCTAGCAATAAAGGATGAGTGTGAAAAATTTGGGTTTTTAAAGGGTTAAAAAAAAAATTTGTATTTAGAGACATGAATTTCATTTCTTTAATAAACTTGTCACAAATATATAGATAAATATTTTTGTCTGAACAGATATCTAGTTCAGAAATACCACAGTAAGCGATACACATATATAACAAAAGAGAAGATACAAGCCCACTTGGTAATAAACTATATTAAATGAAATTGTGCATATATATGTTATGTGCTTTATAAATAAAGATGTTTATTAAGAACCTCTATAAAATTCTTTAATTGCATCAATGACTTTGTGAATTCTATCTACATAAGAAGGAGGTCCGATATGAAAACTTACAAGGTAACGAAAAGTTTTGTAAAAAAACTAAAACTATATAGGCGAAATTTGTTATCGATTAAAGAGGAATGACCTCACACTTCACAGTTTGGTCGGAGGCATCACAGGCTACGATATAGGTGGGCATCAAATGTTCACTAAGGGTAATAACGCTAATCTAACATGTCAATCATATCTCGAAGATGTAGAGAATTTAGAGCATTTCGTTTGTAATTACATATTACATTCGCAAGAAATAAACTGAGGTTATCTTGGATTCATTAAGGAAAGCAAGAAAATTAAGTAAGAGTAGTCAAAGAGTAGAGTTGTTTTAGGTACTTTTGTGATTTACTAATAGAGCTTATGGATTTTTATACTTTATATGGGTTCTTTCTATATGGGTAAGCTTTTCGCTCTCATTGCATCTATACTTAAATTAATATACATATTCTTCGTTTTATTGTATACGTGTAATTAACGATAAATTGTTGTTGAAAAATGACTACGGAACTATCAAATTTTAAGATTTTAGTGGACATTTATATTGTAAGGCGTTGGGCGTTTACACGTAGCTAATAGTCCTAGCTAATAGTCACGAATTATAAAATAGAAAAATTAATCCAATAACGTAATTTGTGACATTAAAAATATTTATGATAAATGTTAACTAATTTCATTAAATTGAATATTTAATGTATTAATAACAGAGAAGAAAATTCTGACCTGCATAAATTTATTTTTTATTTAAATGCAGGTATTTCAGTTATTGCCATATATCCGTTAAAAGTCCTTTGGAAAATATTTAATTGTCTGTCAATTATTTTTTGGAATTCAAGTGCCAAAAATCGAGCATTGCAAATAATTTACTATAATAAGATATATTTTCCTTTAATATAAGATGTTATATATATATATATATTCATGAGATTTAACAAATGTGCCTCTTAAATAATTTATATTAATTTTGTAACAGAAGCGTTAACTTTTCAACTCAAATGCTAACTTAAATGAAATAATTTTATTTATTTTTATTGCAAATTATAAAAGTCATATGTTAGTTTCATTGCAATTTCAAACATAATATTTTAAAGTTTCATTTAAAGCAAAAAAAACTTCATTTTAAATCAAAATAATACTGACCCTTTAAAAATATATAAATTTTATGGCAGATTAACTTTTTAGTTAATATTTCATATAGAAAAAATAAAATAATAAAAATGATATTATTTATATTAAACAAACTCAACGTCAACAAGAAAATGTTAAGCTCATTTATAAAATTTGAATAACTTCAAATTGGTCTAAAAGCATTTGGTATAAAAGTATGCCTACCTGATTATAACCGCGTAAAGCTTTGTCATATTCACGAACTTTCATGTGGTTGTTGGCTTGGTCGCACAGCAGTTTTATAGCAGTTTCAATCTCTTCAAGAGAATCAACTTTGGACTTTTTTCTAGGCATATTTCATAATTTGTGAATATAATATATGCACATATATTATTGTATTGTAGAATTATATATAATTAATTATATATTTGTTATAAAAGTTGTTATATATTCATTGATATTAAATTATGTAAATATATATTTTATTGCAGTTTAATAAGTAGTTTTATTGTAGTTTAATAAAATATTATTTAAAATTTTTATTTAGTTTTCCGATGCATTACAATTTTAAATTTATGTCACATTTTTGTATATATGTATATTCATTATTAAATTGCCGTTTTTTAAGGAATTATTTCTTTTTTAAATATAAATTTTTTTTTAGTTTTTTTTTTCTATTTTTATTTAAATTTTCCGTATAAGTTGTATAATTTCATTTAATATATTAACTTTTTATTTGAAATTATTTCTATTCTATTTTTATTTCAACTATCACATATTTATTTTTAGAAATAACTTCATAATCTCTACAAAATACTTAATTATTTTCATTTTAAGGAAGTGATTATGAACTTCAGTTTAATATATATTTTTATTATTTACATCACTCTATTAACTGACAGAGACACGTCCTTTTTCGTTTATATTCGTATTTCGACTAAATTTTAATAGTAATAATTTTGGTCGTTTCCCTTATAACCACGAAATCTGTGGAGCGCATACAAAACAATTTCGAGGTTGTTGGGGGTGGCATGCCTGGTTGCATGTGATGACAATCAGTAATAAACTTCAATAAAGAGTCATTAACTTTGTTTGTCAACAATTTTGAGGGAAAAATTCCTTCAAATCGAAATTCGCCAAACTTAGACATAAATGTTAAATTTGATGGCAAAAATATTTATAAGTTTTGTAAAAATTTAATGAAGTCATACATATATATTGTAAAAATTCTTAACGAGCTTTGTAGGTTAGTTTACAATGATTAACTTATATATAAAAAAAATATTTGATGAAGTAATGCATTGCCGTGGCATTTAACTTTGGAGTTTTGACTATATTTTTATAAAGTTGCAAACTTAGTTTAGATGGTAGATACAGGTGTAAGCAATTTCTTGTGGGACAGGATACACTTAGACCTTAAGAAATAGATGTACAAGAAATTTTAAAACACACTATATGATTTTGAGTATATAATTATTTATTTTGTCGGGCGTTAGATCGGTTTTGTTTTATATTACTTTAAATAATATAAAAAATGTAAATAAAAATACTAATTTTATTTGTTAATTTAAAAAAAAAAAGAATAGTTCATTTATTTAAAACGGATATTTACGTTTAATTCATAAACTATCTTCACCATCTTCCATCTTCAGTGTTATATTAATACCAATATTATTAAGGCCGATATTTACAAAAATTTTAAGGATAATTGATAAAATTTTTTATTTTTTAATAATAATAAAAAAATTGGGGCAATTAGATTGAAGAAACACTTTTATTAAAATCGTTTGGTCATAAAATAATTAGGACCTGTGCGAGTCAATTTATTTGAATTCGAACACGGCCTTAAATTCAACAATTTTAAGAAAACTTAATTAATATAATCCTTAATACTTACTATAAAGCAAATTTGTTTGATATAATCTTTAATTCTGGGCTTAGAAACTATGGGAATGTATGAAAGATTGTCATTCAAATAAATTATTCTCAATTTTAGTTTTAATCAAAATTTTTGTTTCATTCTATTCGATGTGAGGAGCGATAATTACATATCCATTTTTATCTATTTTTTAAATGTTTTGCTATTGTGTACAAAGTTTATTTTAGGATGATAATCTAGTGTTAGTTGTGAATATAGGCGAAGTGATCATGTAACCAATACTTAGCTTTAATAAAACAAGTAAGTCTTTAATGTCTACATGAAAGATATTATTAATAAGAAATTAACAACTAATATCTAATATCAAATCAGATGTCATTCTAATACAGGATGATCGTTTTCAAAGAGTCTTAAAGTTATTTTCTAGGTGTGTTTTTTCTGTATATATGGTAACACAATGACCCAATAGACCTAAGTGGATCCACTAGAAATCGCCGGGATAACCTATCCATTAGGTTAAAGTGATTTTGCCTCACGACAATGTTCGGTCACATGTTGCAAGACAAGTAAAAAATACGTGAGAAGCACTTAAATGGGAAATTTTATCGTATGCTCCCATTATCCTGATTGTG